ACTCACACATTCAACATCACCCTAATATCTCTCTCTCTCTCTGTAATTTTTTTTAATCAGAAAACAATTATGTGCGTTTTTGCATTATAATAGTTTTGCTGTCTCCAACAATAATTTGAAGCCATGCATGTTGTGTGCTCTCGTGTGCCACAAAATTAAATGCCAAAACCCTCTGTTACAATTTTGTTTGTGCTGTCTGAAAAAGCTGCCTCAGTTTCTAAATCCTCAAGGCTGAAAATAACACGTCATTCAAAATATTTCTCTCTTTTTTGGACAACAATGCTTCATCCACCTATATAGGGAACTCCAACACATGCTACAAATTTTGTAGGGTCCTCTGGATATTACAACTACAGAGAGAGAAGAATGAAACCACTGGATGCCTATTAGCCTCACAAATCTAACATTATTCTCTTGTCTTTGCTAAGATTTTATTTTACAACATTGTCTTGTGAAAGTAGATGTTACATGCTGTAAATGTTATATCAGATTCTACCATCATTGTTGTGATTACTTTATACATAATTATTGAATTTTTGCTCAAGTGTCATCATCATCATGTTTCTTCACAATTTCAATCACATTTTACATATATTTACAGTTCAAAAAGAGATATTTTTCCTGGGTACAAGAAGAAAGTCGTGAAGAGTAGTTGTAAATTATAATATTTACATTAAATTAATGCCAGCCATATAAAAAGTGAAGAATTTGTATAGATATGATATGTTTTAAAATAAAGAGCATTGAATTAATCTCCTTTATATATATATATATATAGATAAGCATCTTCCGAAAAAGGCTATACAGTTTTAATTTTATTCAATTCGATTAATTCTTTGATCTTAATATTCATTAAAATGGACTAATTTTCTGAAAAGGAAAAAAAATGTTATACTTTTTTTTTTCTCTGTTTCATAAATGAACATTTGAACAGGTCATACTTTTTTGTCTCATTATTTCACGATGAAATCAAAACATAAGTGAATGGTATATTAATGAAAACTGGATCTAGCACAAGTGGCAAAAGTTCAAATTTTCGCTCCAAAAGATTTTACATTTAATGTCCAAGAGTGTATTATCATCATCATCTTTCGTACAAGAAATTTGCAGAACTTTGTTTCCAAAAAAAGATGTTATTTTATTTTTCTCTTCAACAAGGGAAAAAGACTTAGGAATCAAATGGAAAGTTACCGAATCAGGGAATAAAAAAAAAGAAGAAAAATGTGGCCAAGTTGGCAACACTGATGTTGACTTGAAGTTTAACCCATTATATATACTTTTACCTTACATACAACGTCGTGGTCAATTCTTAAATGACACCAACAAAAGTCCAGCATTTGATTTGATGTGTGGAATTTTGCGGTCCATATTACTATCCCAGCAAAGAACACGTGGGTCTTCAGTGTTGGAATCCTCTGAATTATGTCTCCATGCTTCAATGTGTCTTCCATGATGATATCTACAATCAAAGTGTAGCGATTTTACTGGAAGCAACATTGCTGAATATCTCATCTGATCTAACAGACTGAAGAGCGAATATCTCATCTTGTTCCATCGGGCATTGCATCACGAATAGCAAACATTCTTCTAAAGCACCCACCAACAAAAAAGGTTAAAAGTTCTTTGATTATTTTGTTATGGTGTGCAGTACAATTGAGGTGGTGACTTCACTCAACCTTGTAAAAAGAATTGGTGAGCAAGTACAGTGTATAAATCTGGGGCCACTGTGTCAATCTTCTGAGTTTGTCATCACATAACCACACATCTCTTTTTTATTATGTTCATAACATACCACATTTTCATCTTACCTTGGATCTACTTAAACAACATCTATCTACAATTCACATTCAGACTAAAACTACTTTTAAGACCAAACACATATGTGTGTCCCAGAATTCATTGCTGCTCTTGTAAAGTTGCAACTTCAGTTTAAAATTGAATGAATGTTTTCATCTTTGGTCCAAGATATAAATGGGGCTTTGTACAGCATGGTTCGGCCCAATTAGATGTTTTGTTTGGATTGGACCTTGCTAGTATTTTAGTATATCGTCTGGGGTATATTTTAGAATACTTATTTAAAGAACAAAAGCGATGCCAAATTTTTTGCATAGGATGCAGAGAGTTGGACCAAAATCTCTATTACTTTAATAAACATTAAATTACTATCGATCCAAAAAGAGAGCGATTCTGTTACTCGTGTGAGTTTTGATGAATAGAATCTAAACAAAAATGTGAGGAACTAAAACAAAAGTAAAGAGCTGATTTTTAAAAAAAGTGAGAAGTCAAAATAGTTAAGACAAAGAACAGAGAATAGGGTAAAATTCTGCTAGTAAATTATTGAAAATGAATTTTGCTTGGATGTATATTTAAAATTATGTTAAGCTTGTTGTTTACTTCAGTTTTCCACCTTAAAATATGGGTTCAATTTTACAAGAATCTAAAATTATATCCAAATCAGAGCAAGAAAATAAATAGGATATATTTAATATTTTATAAATTTTAACCAAAATGAGAGTACTTGGTTTACAGAAAAAGTAGCTGAACTTCTTAAAAATAAAAGCAACGTGTTCTGTTGTGAACAATGTTTAGGTTCCATCCTTATTTTTCATTTCTTGGCTCTGATAGCAATGATCATTAAATTTCTATACTTTGGATTAACATCTCCAGCTAGTAAAACGGCATCCCTGCTTCAATTCAGCATTGAATTAATTTTGAAATTTTAAAAAAATGAAAAACTTCAGATGTTTTGAATTAATTTTTAATTTTTGAATATTTTGTTTGATTTTTAATTTTAGTAGAATAATTAACTTTTCACTAAATAAAAAACAATATATATAATTAAAGGCCAAATTATCATTATTAAGTTTTTTGAAATTAGTATAAATAATGTTTAATAATTTGAAATGATAAGTTTTACATTAACATTAGTAAACATAAGAGAGAGAAAAAAAGATCAGGACAGATAAAAAAGAAAAAGAACTAAGCTATAGATGCAGACAAATAGAAAATAGAAAGAAAATTAGAGGTGAGATTAACAAAAAAAAAAGAGAAAAAAATAATAAAAAGATAAAAAATATGAGATGATAAAAAAAGTTAAAATAATAAGATAGAAAAACAAACTGAAGTAAAGTAGGGAGAAGAGATAGTATAGACATAAGGGAGAAAATGAGATGAAAGAGACAAGAGAGGGACAAAAACATAAGAAGGAAAGGGACAGATATATACCAAGGAGAGAAACAGATGTAAGAAACAAAAAGAAAAAAATAAATACAGAAGAAAAGAAAGCAAAAAGAAAATAAAAGAGAGATAAAAGAAAAACTGACTAGAAAGAAGAGTTAAATATGCTTTTAAGTATCACTGATTTTTTGTTTTAGTCCACACTCAAAATATTGATGGCATTTAGTCCTTGTAGTATTAAAACATGTAAAAATAGTCTTTAAAAATAGACAGCGTCAACTTTTGGTTGATCTGGCAAACGACAATGCCACATCCTTTGCCAGGTTCATTGTTCTCTGTCTGCCAAATCAAGACACAAATGACGTTGTTCGAACCCGATTGGAGGTGTTGCCGGAGATACGGGTCTCCACCGCATGGACGTTACCGCCTCAGCCACCACTCGAACAACCACCACGCTGCTGTCCACGGTGTTGCCGGTACTTGCGCCGAAAAAGCCACCGCCCTTGACGGTGGACCACCACCACTTTGCCCCTTCTCCTTCGTGCGAGAGGAAGACGCATTCACCCTCTGCAGCGCATCCAAGCCATTCACGCCGCACCCAGTCGCCGCCTCTCGGACCATGAGTCAAGGTCGCACCGGTGATGCGGCTTGCTGCCGGAGCCGTCGCCACCCGATCCAAGGCGTCGCCGACGAAACCCATCATCAACAGGACCCGTATGCGCGTGAGAGAGGAGAATCGTTGCTTCTCTGTGACGAGTCTCCACCACCACGAATGAAACCAGCCACTGTCGACAAAGTTGGCTACCGCTGTTCTCGCCGGAATCGCTCCCTCACCAGCGCCACGAGCGCTGCTCTCCTCCCTCTTAATGCGAGGGTTTTTTTCTCAAACGCCAAACATCCCCAACAACACTCACTACTAGACGAAAGCGCATTCTTTGTTTTTGTTTTTGTTTATCATGCCCTTTGTTGGTTAATTCTTCTATCTCATTGTTCACTGGGATTGGAAACGCAGTGTGTTTATGGTTTTCGTTCTATATCTATTGCTTAGAGGATTAACCCCTTTGTTGGTGGCTTGAGGTGAATAGAGGCAAAGATTGGGTTAGGCATTTCTCTCGCAAGAAGATGGCCATAGGGGTTTTCACGATATAAGCAACGTGGCAGATAGAGAACAGTGAAGCTGACACAAGACGTAAAACATTGTCGTTTGCCAGATCAATTAAAAGTTGACACCGTCCACTTTTAAGGAGTATTTTTACATGTTTTAATATTACGAGGACTAAATGTCATCAATGTTTTGAGTAAGGACTAAAATAAAAAATCAGTGATACTTAAGGAACGAAAAACATATTTAACCCTAGAAAGAAAATTGTTTAAATTATTACTTTTCATAATAAATTTTATAATTTTAAATAATCAAAATATTTTCAGAATTTTTCGTAATTTCAATTTTTTAAAATGTGTTGCCCAAATAATATATTTCTTAAAAAAATTGTAACAGAAACAAATTATTCTTTTAAAAGTTTTCATTATTTATTTAGAAATCCTTCTCCAACCTTATTATAACTTATTGATTTGTCTTAAAATAATTCCCAACCCTATTATAATATGTTAACATTTAAATTATCATAATTTTATATATATGTTCAGTTGTGAGAATGGTATTAATGTGAATTTTATATAGATATGATCAGCTGTGACACCAAATTGTGTGGGTTGATAATAATTGGTTAATAATATATTATCAATAAATAGAAAAGGGAAAGAAAGACCATTCCAACTTAGGAAAACAGATGGCAAACCATTTGAAATGGTGGAATAATATCTTGGCAAAATTCCTGAATAGTAATTTTATGATAGATAACAGATCCAAATATACAATAAATACTGTAACTTTACTATGTAATTCCACAACAAAGAACAGTTGAGACAACTAGTATACCAGTAGTAACAACCCAAAAAAGTGCGCAAGGGATGAAACCGGCAAAACAACTTCACAGAATAATTAATAAATTATGGTCAGAACTACTAACTTTCTAGATAGCTCCACCTAATAAAAACCTTGAAAAAATGGCAATGGCCACCATGCCCAAAACCTACATATTCAACCAGGGAAAAATAAATAGGAAAAATAAACACCACCATAAGGCATTTTTCAAATGTCATTGCTTTCCTCGTCGTCATCATCCTCTTGGTCATCCTCATCCTTTTCCTGTCAATGATAATTATACTTTCTAAGAAAATATTTCTATCCACTATATTTTGGAAGTCCTAATGACATTAAGAATTTAAAACACGTCTTAAAATGCTATTATTAAGTAAAATAGCAATAACTCGTATCAAACATCTTAAAATGCATTCATATTCTTTGTTGTTTACAGATCATGAATGATTACAACTTTCAGCATTTTTATGTATCTTCACAAAAACTTTTTTTGTTATTGTTCAAATCATACTGTTCCAGATATATTAAGCAGTAATAAAGAAAAAAGAGGATGAAACACTGAATTGATATTAACTTAGATGTATATAAAAGTATGTTGATACTAACCCATCTTTATAATCGAATCCTAACTAACTCAGGAACTAAAGCATGGTAAAATAAATCCTAATGAATAAGAAAAAAATACTAACCCTAAAGAAATTATGATATGATAAAATATTTTCCATATACTCAAACAATTATTAAATAGAATTCACATCACATTGGTGTTTCTCGTATTCGTTTTCTTTATGTTAACATCTATATAACCAAAAATTAAAGCATTCAGCTAAACCTGAGTTCAAAATATGACTGCTATAAGTGACTCGTACATGTTCAGCATTAAACTTTGAATCAATGCTGATTTAGGTTTAGTATCCATTGACTGAATTTTGGACGAATTAAAGCATGGATCCAGCAAGATTCCATAAAACATAAACAACAATACTCCAATCATATTTGCCAATCATATATTCTTTTTCAAAGTAAATTAGAACTTCAATTACCTCATCATCACCTTCATCATCAAAATCCTCTTCATCAAACTCCTGTTCCCAAGTCAATTAACATTAGAAACACCATGGGAGAAATTAGCAAAGTAGAATGAGTAATTAAGTGTGAGATTTGAAAATACAATACACAGAAGACAAAAAGGTTAAAATTTTAACTTACATTGTTGAAATAGGTAAGTGGATTTGGCCATAAATCATCTTTGATCAATTCTGCAACCTGCATTTATGTGATTAATGTTTTGGCACAAAGCGAAAAAGAAAACAGAAAATCACTAAAGAACTTCCATCTGGAAAGAATTTTACAAGGCTAGAGAAAAATATACCTCATCATGAATTTCATCCGCATCGTCTTTCTGTTCAGAGTCACTAAACCAAGTAAAGAAACTGCATTTATTGGCACAAGAAAATTTAAATATTGGCCACTGAGTCCATGAACCATTCACGAAAGGAGATTTAGTAACATTTCCTTCAAATATATTAACTAACAATGAAGAACACGAAAAGCTTTAGCTGACACAAGGGAAAGAAGTTTTCTTAAAAACAGTTATTCTCACTTGCTCAAAATTACCCAGTTAAAACATTTGGTCAGGGCATCAAATATTTGCATGCTATCATCCTTGTTCAGATTTCAAAACAAAACTGGAGAATTCTAACTAGTACGAATAGATTCTTTCTACCAACTCTGCACAGGTCAATGCTCTTCGCATTCTAATCTTTTAAATATTTATTCTAGTATAGAAAAGTATACTACTACGTAGAAAAGTGCCACTAATATTTCAAATAGTTATTCTAGTATAGAAAAGTATAATACAACATAGAAAAAGTGTCACAGGGAAACACATAGAAAAATACAGCCATGTCTTCTGAATCAAAGTGGAATATGACATAACAAAAGCAGACATCACAAACTACGTATATTTTCTTGATCTGCCAATTGATCAATTTGAATGCCAGAAAACTCCAGCCTTCAACAGTAGTTTCTGTTTTTTCTTTTTCCAAAAGAAAAGGCCTGGCCAAGAAAACGAGTGGTCTAGTATACAAAAACGAAAATGGGTGCATAACCATGGCTATCTTTGTTTATAATATTACTGTGCTCAGAACAGAAACTAAAAAAAAAAAGCATAAAAACAAAAGGTTAGGTATCAACCTGATATCAATACGACCCCGCTTCCCATTCTTGTCAAGATTGACTCCATTGGGTAATCCCTGTATAATTAAGGATTATGTTTCAAAGTGAAAACTGTAGGTGCTGATGGGGTGGTGAGAATAAATGAATTTATAGCCTTACCTTGCCCTCTTTCCATTTAATGGGGTTAGCAGTTATCTTTGTTGATCCTTCTTCAAAGAAGGTAAAAGTCTTCGTAAGCTTTGTATTCTCAAAATAGGGATTGGGATTGAAATTCTGGACAAAAAATAATTAAAAACTAGTCAATTTTTGTCTGTAGAGAATTAACATCGGGCTAGTCTTCAAAGGTGATTAACAACTGGTCATTTTTGTCTGTAGACACTTTTAAATCACTGCTATAAAGGATAGCACCACTTCAGTAAATACAAGGTGTTTTTTTGGGCGACAGAGGGTGAGAAAAAGAGCAAGAATAACTTACAAAGGTGATTGAGTACCCAGATTTGACATCTTTATTATCTTCAACCTCGAGAGAACCCAAATACTTAAATATCTACAAACAAAGGGTGCCAGCAATGATTAAAACTTCATCAACAGGTTTATCAGTAACCAACGGAACAAAGCATTGAAAGCACTCTCATGTAAACCTCACAAAGTGGCAAAACACCCCAAGTAAATAAATAGACCGAATCTAACACGAAGGACAATTAACATAGCTGCAAAACTTCTCCACGTATGAGGATAGAAGTCAAACCTTTTGATCCTCTAAATTCAGAAGTTCACAAAGAGCAGGGTGACTCATAAACTGCACAAGCCAAACAAAGATAAATTTAAAAAAATATTTCAAATTCGTATCCTGTCATAACAATAATCAAATTAAAAAAATGAAACTCACAGCAGTAAACCAGAAATCAGGAATAGATTTGACGATGATCTCATTTCGCTTATCGTAAACTGGCTTCCTTATCTCGTTAAACTTCTGCTCTACTTCGAGGACCTTATCACTCGCCTCCTCATTGATCTACAACGACATCAAAATTGAAATTGAAATTGAAATTGAAATTCAAAATCAATGCACAATAGCACAATTTTCAAATTCATCGTCAATGCACTAATAGCATAATTAACATTCACAATTCATAAAATACAATTTCGTCATGTTAATTAGAGGAATCGATAAATTTGGCGACAGTTTAAAACGGAGAATGAAAACCTAAAAAACTGGAAAATATGAATTCAATCGATGAGTGAGCACTTAGCGTAGAAAGATGAGGTGGAATGGGAAATTATGAAACCTTATCGAGTTCGTCTTGGACCTCTTGCAACTTCTCAATGGAGAGGATGAGTTTTTCGTCGATGGTATCTTCCAAATTCTCAGCGATTTTCAACTTCTTCGTCTTGTCGCCAACCATCTTCGCCTGAAACGCGCGTTTTCAAAAGCGAGGGGTTGTTTGGTGTGGCAGAGGAAGCCAAGTGAAAAGTGTGGGAAATATGGTTAGGGTTTTGCGGGTTTAGGCTCGAAATACTCGCTGACGAATATAAATAGGCTATCCCATATCCCAGGACAAGTGTACATGGAATGTGTTTTGACATTTTGCCCAAGGTGACGTGGACACGTGAATTATCAACATTCAACTATAAATGCATCTTTAGAGTTCCCCTTCTTGTACAAGGAAGAATTGGAATAGACAAATTCTAGAATGATAGGATATGGATACAAGTATCAAAATTAATTTATGTTTAAAATTGGATATAGATAATTACTTATATTTTAAGTTAGGAATGTGTAATGGTTTATGATTTAAATTTGGCATAGTAATGAGAAGGATACGTGGATATCAATATCTTTTTTAGTCATCCGCACTTTTCTGTTAAAAAATATTACAACGTTCTTAATTTATTAGATAATTTAAGAAATCTTATGTCAGTATTTGTTTGGATCTTTACTTTCTTTTTAACTGAATACGCATTTAATTATTTTTACTATTCTTTATAATTATTTGACTTTTGTTTAAATGGTGTCATTTGTTTTTATTGAGAAAAATATCAATTTAGTCTCTCTCTTTTTTCTATCTTGATTTAGTTTTTATTTTGAAAAATTTGATATAATCAAGTTCTTTTATAATAATATACTAACAACAATAAAGAGATGTCATGTGTCAATTTGTATATCACATGTTAAGCTGACATAGTTTAGTGTGATATGATAATAGCGGTATCACATGTCAGTTTTACATGTCATTGATTTAGTTTCAATTTAGTTTTCGTATTTTTACTTTGTTTCACTTTAGTTCTAATTATTTTTAAAATTAAACAATTTCATATCTATCTAAAAATTGAAACCAAATTTAATTTTTATATAAATGTTATACAAATACTTTTATTAAAATTGATATTTTTATTACTTTTTCTTAATAAGATTAAGTTTATTTAAATTTATATTTTATATTGAATTTTATTTGAAATTATTTTATTAAATATTTTTAACAAGATTAAGTTTTAAATGACTCTCTCATTTCTTCCTTTAGCTCCCAAGTGAGATCTCCCGATCTAGCATTTCGTAAAACCTTAACTGAATTAATTGTATCTTCTCTAAGTTGTTTGATTTACAAATCCTCTATTCTTACTTGTTGAGCTTCCACTATCAAATCATCGTTCTAACAAATACTTCCTTGATCGTGGAACATAAAACACATTATATAATCTTGATAATTAAGGTGGTAAAGCAATCTCATAAGTTACTATCCTATCTTCCATAAGATCTTATAAGGTCTAATAAACTTAGGAGAAAACTTTTTAGGTCGAACCCTTTCCACACAATAGTTAGGGGCACTCTCAAGAAAACATGATCTTCAGCTTCAAACTCTAACAGACGCATCTCTAATCCACATATGAATTTTGCCTACTCTGTGAGGCTTTCATTCTATCTTATATTTTCTTAACCTTCTTTGTTGTCTGCCTTAGCAACTCTAACCCAACCAACACAACTTCCCATCTTGATACCAACAAAATGGTGTCCTGTATCTCATTCCATACAATGCCCGCAATTTCAATACTTGCGTGATGATTGTTTTTATAGGTGAACTCTACTAATGCTAGCATTGATTAAATTAGTCTAGCAATATATATTAGAAGTGTTTGTCCATACACTTATTAGATAATCTAATAATATATTTATTAGACGATTACGTTCATACAATAATTAGACAAATATAGCAAAAAGCATTAGATAAGTTTGTCTATAAACTCATTAGACGAGTTTAAGCATATTTGACAATATTTTTGCATGATCTAAGTTGTTTACATGTATTGTATTTGTTGAAGTTTAAAAACATGGTTATATGTTTCATATCATCTTTATTGATTGTTAAAGAAAGTGTATCCAATTCATTGGTATTGTCGAAGATAATTTGTCCATAAATAATTACACGAGTCTAACAATAAATATTTAACGAGTTTGTCTAAGACAGGTTATACAAGTTAAATAACAAGAAATACAGGAGTTTGTGTATACACTGATTAGACAAGTGTAGCAAAATATATTAGACGAGTCATTCAATATGCTAATTAGACGAATATAGGAAAACACATTACACAATTATGTATATACATTTATCATACAAGTCTTTCAACACACATTAGACAAGTGTATTCATATACTAAGTACATGAGTCTATCAATTATATTAGATGAGTCATTTCATACACTGACTAGGCAATTATATGAATATGCATTCGATGAGTGTGTCCAAATATTGATTAACCGAGTCTACCAACACACATTAGAAGAGTCTACTCATACACAAATTGGACTAATCTATCAATAAATTACTTCATATAATAATTAGATGAGTTTAGTAATATACATTATTCTAGTTTATCTAATCATTAACATTTTTTTCATAGTCTATCTTATGTATTATTAAATCATATACTTTTTTTTTGCATAGTCTAACTTTTATATTTTTAGAGTACATTTAAATTTCTTTACATCGACTAATATTATATTTTTAGATTTTTCTACTTTTTATATTTTTGTTTTAATTCTATATTTTTTAGATTATTCACTCCTTACTTTTTTTTATATGATTTTGTAATAACTTAATTTTATAATAACTTAAAAATAGTCAAATACTTCATTTACTATTATGAATAAAACTCGATTTCGTATTACCAACATTTCATATATAATTATGCAATTTGTCAGATGATTCTTGAAAAACAGAAAGAAATACGAAATAAATAATAAGCTAAAACTAAAATAAGTAAATAATGAACAAGATACAAGTTATAATGAGAAAATAAACCATGATGATAATTGAAGATACAAGAAGAAATAAAAGATGGAGAACCTAAATGGTGAGGAAGGTAATGACAAATAAGATAACTGACTGAAGACATAAATGGCAAGGAATTAGCACAAAGGATTTTAAGGTGAAAAGTAGATTTCGATAACCAAAACCATTTTCCTAATTTCATGTTGTAGTGCTTTCAATAAAGTATTATCGGAGTTTACAATATGAGAATTACAAGGAAAGATATAACTTCTTAATAGAAGTGTATTGATTTTCAGTATATTAGAAATTCTAGAAGTAATACACATCACATTGCATTCGATTTTCATATTCTTGAGAGAACAAGTAAACTATTATTCCAATTTCATATTACTGACACAACAAACAATCAACAGTAGTATTTGACGTTGAAATATATAGTTTTAAACATAATCAGCACCAGAAAATTGTAATTTTTTATTTATTTCTTGAGTTAAATATGTTTATGATTTTTAAATTATTATTTAGTTTTTTTTTTCAAACTTGTTTTTTTTGTCTCTCCCATTTTAAAAAGTCATGTATGACTAATGTCATAGCTTTGTTTCTACAAGACAAACGGTGTATAAAGTCCCTAATCCGTTTAAAACACGTGTATTGTATTTTAGGTCGACAAAATAGTTCGGTGGCAAGTTGTGCCACGTCCCCAACCTAATAAGATCAGCAAGACACGTATATTTTTTCTAAGGTCGACAAGGTATTTGAATAACTCAGTAAGACATTAGGATAGTCCGTTAAGGTGCATGAAGAATTCATATTGTTTAGTTGGAAGTCTAAAAAGAGCTTAGTAATGTGTTATCCAAGCTATGTGAACTACCCATTGAACTATCAGAGTTTTCCATACACCTTACCAAACTATATGAGTTCCCCCATTCACCCTACCAGACTATATGTACTTGTCCACCAAACTATTCAGATGTCTTGCCGACCCGGAGACATAATACACTTGTCTTGTTGACCTTATCGGACTGGAAATGTAGCATATTGTTTGCTACTAAACTATCTTGCCGACTTAAAGACATAATACACGTGTGTCTTAGACGATTACACACTATTTGTCATGTCAGAATAAAAACTAACGGCGTTAGTTATAAAAAACTAAATTTATGATTTTCTAAAGGAGATAAACCTAAATTTAGAAAAGAAAAAAAAAACAAAATAGATAATAACGAATTTATAAAAGCAGAAAAACCTAAATAAAACAAAATTTAGAAAAGAAAAGAAACCAAAAATAGATAATAATTTAGAAACCAATGCAATATTTAACCTTTTTTTTAAACCTCTTCTTATAGCTTCCTATTTAAAATCAATCTACTTCTTTAGTTTCAATAAAGAAGACTCTCAATATGTCTTTCATACTAAATTTGAAAAGATTTTCTTAAGTATTTTATTTCCAAATAAAGATTGGAGTTATGTTTCATTTTGCGGAGTTTAGGTGTCAATTATTGTCTTTGTTTCATTTTTACCCACTATTGAACTCTTTTTATGAACAATGAACCCCCAAACTTTACTTGTTTCAACTTTAAAAGCGTATTTTAAATGATTTATTTTTAATCCATATGCTTTCTTTTTTTTTTCCAACACAGACTTTTAATTATTAACAATCTTTCAAGTTTTAATTCGATTTTTCATAAATTTCAAGTACAAGCAATGAATTTATTTTACTAGCTTCTTTTCTTTATTTGTACCAAATAGATTATTAAAAGAAGTTTAATGGTCATTATAAAGTATTATTCATGAAAGTCTATTTCATTGTGGGCCAATAAAAAAATCGTTGATATAATTTCTAAAATATTTATAACAAAATCTATAACTATAATTATATATGAAATATAAAATGATACACTTATTTAATGTCCTATTTTTTTTTCTAATTTTATCTTTTTAATTATTATTTTTTAAATTTAAATAATTATTTACAATAAAAAAACTAATTTTAAGTTTTATTATTTTAGTAACTATTTTTCTGAATTCAAATAATTATTCATTATAAAAAAACTATTAATCTTTTTATTATTTTAGTAACTATTTTTTCAACTTAAATAATTGCTCATAATATTATTTAAACAATATTATTTATACTATTTTTTATTTTAATAACTAAAGTTTATTTTATCTATAGTTATATTTATATATACTTTTTATTTTAGTAACTATTTTTTCAACTTAAATAATTGCTCATAATATTATTTAAACAATA